GCCCTGGCGTGGTGTGGGAGGCGGGGAGCTGGGAGGAGATACGGCGGTGTCTGCTGAGCGAGCTGCAAGATCCAATCTGACACGTGGGGCAAGGCCGCCCTTCAAGCACTGTTCAAGCATTGCCACTGTTCATGTTCCTTCTTCGTCCGTGTACACGGCATTTTAAACGTGCAACTGCTGCCGTCCCGCGTGGGCGGTTCCTGATCCTGTCGTTTAGCGAGACGTAAAGACAGTGTGGGTTGCGTGGGAGACGCGCGAGGGTGCAGCTGCAGGGTCGCGCCAAGAGGCCTGCCCAAACGCCTCGAACCCAGACGACGTGACCAACTTCCACGTTGGCATGCCGCGCCCTGGTGCTGCGAGCTCAAGCTGCAGGACGTGAGTGAGATGGGCTACTCATTAGCGCCGCATCGACCCGCCGAGCGGGCGAGGTGTGCGCCGCCTAGAAGCCTACCCCCCGTATCTTCCTCGAACGCAGTCTCCCCGACCATCTTCCACGTTCGCATGCTCCCGCCGGAGCGGCGAGGTAGTGCGCTGCCTAGACCCCCCCCCCCCCCCCAAACGCCTCGAACCCGCATCTCCCGACCAACTTCGACGTTGGCGTGCGCGCCTTGTGCGCCCACCCCGAGCTCTCCCCACGTGTCTCCGACGCGCTACTCTAGCCCCGCATCTCCCGCCGAGCGGCGAGGTGTGCGCGCCTAGAGCCTCCCCCCGCATCTCCCCGCATCTCCCCGCATCTCCCGCCGAGCGGCGAGGTGTGCGCGCCTAGAGTCTCCCCCCGCATCTCCCCGCATCTCCCCGCATCTCCCGCCGAGCGGCGAGGTGTGCGCGCCTAGAGTCTCCCCCCGCATCTCCCCGCATCTCCCCGCATCTCCCGCCGAGCGGCGAGGTGTGCGCGCCTAGAGTCAGAGTACGTGTTCTTGTCGACCAAGTCCGCTCGAGAGGACGCACTCGGCTGTAGTCCGCCGTAGTCCGCCGTAGTCCCGGCAATCGCACCCCTCGTACTCCGCCACGCGAGCTGCAGACCAGTGCCAATCTCGGGCAATCTCGGGTAATCTCGGAGAATCTCACGCGGCAGCTCGTAGGTGTGCGTGCGAGGCCCGTGCGTGTTTGGGGGCTACTACAAGATGGAGGTTACCCGAGATTACCCGAGATTACCCGAGATTGCCCGAGATTGGCTACTACAGGATGGAGGAGACGACGCGCGGGGCTGCTACAAGGCACGGGCTGTGAACGGCGTCTCTTCACACCCGCAGCTGTGAACAGGAGAAGACGCGCGAGGCGTTCGACGCCGCCGGCTGGTTCCACACGGGCGACATTGGGGCTTGGACGACCGAGGGGTGCTTGCGCATCGTCGACCGGAAGAAGAACATCTTCAAGCTGGCTCAGGAGACTACAATGAGTGAATTAATTCCTTCTTGTGCGTAATTAATGTAAGTACTCTTCAAGCTCGCGCAGGGCGGACCCGCGCGCCGAGGTGGCACGTGCACCCTACCCACCCGGTCCCCGAATCCAGCCGGAGGAGATAGGCGAGTACGTCGCCGCGGAGAAGATCGAGACGGTGCTGCTGCGCTGCCCGCTGCTCGCTCAGCTGTTTGTGTACTGTGAATAGAAGAGCTGTGAATAGGTGCTGCTGCGCTGCCCGCTGCTCGCTCAGCTGTTTGTGTATCTTCACACCTCTCGCTGTGAACAGGTGCTGCTGCGCTGCCCGCTGCTCGCGCAGCTGTTTGTGTACTCTTCACACCTCTCGCTGTGAACAGGTGCTGCTGCGCTGCCCGCTGCTCGCGCAGCTGTTTGTGTACGGCGACTCGCTCCAGTCCTACCCCTACCCCTCACCCCTACCCCTCACCCCTACCCCTACCCCTCACCCCCACGCCCACCCCTCACCCCTACCCCCTACCCCTACCCCTCACCCCCACGCCCACTCACCCCTACCCCCTATCCCTACCCCTCAGGCGACTCGCTCCAGTCCTACCTTGTCGCGGTCGCAGTGCCTGACGCCGAAGAGGTCGCCGCTTGGGCCGCCGCCGCCGCCGCCCCGGCCAAGGTGGCCGAGGTGCTGCGCGAGCCCGCCGCGGCGGCGAGGCTGCACAAGGCCATCAGCCAGCAGATCGCGGCCATGTCGACGGAGGTTGGCCTCAAGCTGCCGCGCCTCAAGGCGGCCGGTGTCTCTCTTGTCCGAGCCGCGCATCACTTCTTCTCTAGGCGGGGCTCAAGGGGTTTGAGCGGATCAAGAAGCTGCACCTCGAGGGCGAGCCGTGGAGCGTCGACAACGGCATGCTCACGCCAACCTTCAAGATGAAGCGCAACGACCTCAAGAAGCGCTACCAGGCCGTGCTCGACGCGCTGTATGCGGACCCTACGGCCGGCACGGCCTCCAAGCTGTAGATGGGCACAACCCCCTCTCCGTTTCCTCCCAGTAAGCTAAAAGTACGTACATCTGGATTGACGTATGTGTATGCGGCCCGCCGACTAACACGCCCACGTGGCGCCGGTGCCGACGTGCGACGACCAGTATCCTGGGCTCTGTGTGGCTCTGCCGCGTTTGGGATCGCGGCTTGCGACGGGCTCTTGTGGTGTTGCCGACATCGTCTGCTACGTGGCGGACGGACGAGGTTCGGCAGGGAGAAGTCTCCCAGAACTTTCATGTGAAATCCGGGTACAGGGCCCACAAAAAAAGAATTTTACAACAAAGCACCCTCGCACAACACTGGGCACGGGACTGGAGTGTTGTGCAAAAAAAGAAAGGAAAACCCCCGGGCGAACCCCGATCGCAGCACTTCGTGCTGTAGAGTCGAGAAATTGAGAAAGAAGTAAAAGTCATCGGAAGGCGAACAAGAGGAAGAACTCAGAGGAAGGGGGGGAGCTGATCCCACTCAGTAACCAACTCTCAGGGGCAGTAGGTGGGCGAGCCTCGAGCGCGCTCATCTCGATCGTCAAGGCGTCGCTACGCGCGGTCTTCCGCGGGGGGAGCTTCGTCGACGGGTGCGGGACCGCGGCGCGGCTGGTGCTGCGGCGATGCCTCCGGCTGCTGCGGCGAGTGGCTTGCTGCTCGCTGCGATGGCGAAAAACTCGTCTCGTCGCACACCAAGAGCTTATGCTCTGACGACGAAGGCTCCGCCGGGCGCGCGTCGGCCGGTCCGGTGGCACCCTCTGCGCGCGGCGGCCTGCCGGCGGCCCGACGACAGCCGTCGCGCCACCGCTGATGGAGGGGCGGTCGGCGCCGCTGCCGCCGCGCCGCCGGTGGGAGGGGCACTGGTGGTGGCCTGGGCGGCCCTCCGCCGCCGCTCGGGGCGCCCGCGCAGCGGTGGCAGCCTGCGCCGCCACGGCTTCGAGCGGGGAGCTGCCTGGCTTCGACGTTCGAGCGCGGGGCTGGCGGGCGCGCCGTTCTTTTTTCTACTAAGCAAAATTCGAGCCAATTGAGGAAGCTCAAGCGGGCAGGCTGGAAGCGCTGAGGGACGGCCGATGTCCGCCCAGTGCCAGACCTGATTTTAGAATCGCTCACGAGGGCAGCCCAAACATCTGCCTGCGCACCTCCACCGTCGCCGCGTCGCCCCCGCCGTGCATCCGCAGCTCTCGCCACGGCTCCGCCTCGCGCTGCGCCAGCCAGTACGCGTGCGAGGAGCGCCGCGCCTCCTCCTCCTTCTCCGTCTCCGCGCGCTTAAAGACGGGCATCACCGACTCCTCCGACCCGCCGCCGCCGCCGCCGCCCTCCGCTCCGCCGCCCTCCTCCCTGCCGCCGCCGCCCGCCGGATTCGCCGCCGCGTCGGCGCCGTCCGCGGCGCCCTCGAGCGGCTGCGAGAAGGTGGGCCGCATCTGCGCGACCGCGTCGAGCGGCGCCAGGTGCAGCGACGCCTCGAGGCCGTCCAGCGCGTCGGCGCAGCCCGCAGTGCCGGTGGCGCCGGCGCCGACGTGCAGCAGGCCCATTGCGTAAGCCGTCTTGTGGGCGGCGACGGTGGAGGTGAGCTGGCAGGTGGGCGGCGGCTCGCCCTCCTCGCCGTCGTACGCAGGGATCCGCAGGTCCATCTCGATCTGGTGCTGCTTTGGCCGGATCCTCGCGCCCGAGAGCTGAGCAAAGTCGTACGGCCGCCAGCGCGGGCGGAGCGGGTACTGGAGCAGGCAGCTGGAGGCGCCCTCGCGCACCGGGCCGAGGACCACGGGGATCCGCGCCACGATCTCGTCGTCGTCCTCAGCGCTCGTCGTCATGCGCCGCGCAAAATAAAATAATTCAAAAAAGAAAAGAGCTCTCTCTCACAGGCTTTTTCTTGCGACGCCCTATTAGCGAGCTGATGCCGTGTCTCGGATAAACCTGATCGACCAGCTCCTTGACTCAACACTCAAGAGCCGCCCTTCAAGGAGTTCGTCGCCCTCGCTGCGCCCGTCTGCAGCCCGGCGAGATGGTTCTCCTCCGCCAGCAATGGGAAGCGTCTATGTACGCGTCGGGTCGGCGCAGCAATGGCGAGATTGACACGGAACGCATGAACGCTCTGATCGCCGACTTGATGCGCGAGCGCTGCGCCGACGACTTCGCCCGCCTCTTCAGCACTCCCCTGAACAGCCCCTCTTGATCGATGAACCAAGCACTCCTGAACATAAAGACGACTTCGCCCGTCTATTCAGCACTCCCCTGAACAGCCACTTGATCGATGAACCAAGCACTCCTGAACATAAATTTCACAATTTGTCGGCTTTACGTATTATCCGTGTTTATGCTACCTCTTGATTTTTTTCCACGACAGCACACGACGCAACGGTTGTGGCGCGCGCTATCTCTGCGAAATGGCACCCAGGCAGAGCGACTGTCGCTGGATGGAGGGGAGCAAGGGCGCGGAGGCCAGCGGAGAGGTCCTCACTGCGGAGAAGGTCCTCACTGCGGGGAGAGGTCCTCACGCAGGAGAGGCCCTCATGCAGCGGGAGCCTCCTCCTGCCTCCTCCACCTCTCTCAGTCATGCCCGAGAGTGAGCAAGAGTGCTCCAAACTTGCGACAGCCTCGTGTGCTGACCTCGCACGATCCACACATACACACCTGTGGGGTCCTGTGCGGAGCGCACCGTGCGTCGACGCCTCAAAAGCTCCGCGCGAGAGGTCCTCCCTTCCACAGAGGCCCTTCAGAGGTCCTCACTCACACGAGGTGAGAGGTCCTCAGACACGAGCAGGGATGGGCCTCGGCTCGGCGAGAGTCTAGGGTACGATACTTGACCCCCCCCCTTGGCGCCTCGTGTTTTTCGTGCCAAACCAGCGCGATCTCGGCGGGGCGTCAGCGCCTCTCGGAGGGGCATCATGCGCTCCCGGGGCCGCCCGACGGCGCGGGCCTCTTGCCGATGGACCCAGCCGAGGTGCCCGACCAGTCGCAGCCGCGCTGACGCGCCGCGCGCGACCACCAGCCAGCTTTTCGAGGGGCCCGAGCACGGTGCGCCGAAAGAGTAGACACTCTCCGGTCCATCCGGAATTTTGTCGTTTTAGTTAGCACTGCTGCTGCAGACAGGGCCCGCGTGACCCCATGCCCTTCCCGGATCCAGCTCGCTGAGGTGTGACGTCACCCCGATGACCGCCCACAGGTGGCTGACGAAGCGCCACTCATCGCTGCTTTCGCGCGCCTGCTCCACAGAGGGCTCCTGCGGCTCTCCCTCGTCGCGTGACCGCCGCCGACATCATGTGCTCGGTCGTCCCCGCCGGCACGGAGCTGCGCCACGTCGAGTTGTTCGGTGGCTCGACCGCCGGCGCGCCCACCCTCGCCTCCTGCGCGCCTCACACCCAGTATTTTCCTCGCGCGCGGCCGACAAAGTAGGCACACGACCACCTCCCTCCCACTCACCCCCCCCCACGATGCACAGCCCGTCCACTCTCGCCGGCAAGGCGCACGGAACGCCCAATTTGGGCTGGAAATGCCGCCGCCACGGGTTGGTGGCGCCCTCGGCAGCGGGGCAGCGCCACGCCGCGCAAACTTGCGCGACAAACTTGCGACCTCTGTCCCTCGTATTCACCCCAGATTTTGCCCTATCCAGGCTCACCCGGTACCGCGAGCGACGAGCCGCGCCAAGTTTGCTCCATTTCCGACAAGTTCATCCCGCCCGAACGCCGATCTTCGGCCGCCTGGAGGCCCAGGACGGGGCTCGGGACCGGCCAGGTGTGGATTCTCCACGGCGCTGCGGTGTATCTGCGCGCCCATGGCGCGTTCAGGGGTGTGCCTGAGGCGTGTAGACTGCGGGGCGCCGCGATAGCGCGGCGCCGACGGTTGTGTCGCGCACTGTCACACCCACGACACGGTCACAGTGTGTGTGCAGTGCGTCCACTCCGGCGACCGTGACGCCGTCGGCGCTCGCCTATACCGGCTAGTGTGGAGCTTTCAGTGTGGTTGCGTGTTGTACTAGTGATGCTGCACTAGGCGGCCCGTTTTTAGCAAAAACCAGATACCACATCGCGTGTGGTCGTCGAAAAACCGCATCTTCGCCCGTCTGGGACCTCTTCGTACGGCTCCAAAAACCGCTCCTTAACGACGGCTACGCGGCCCGGCGGTCGATCTGCGCCTTCTCAGCGGTGGAGGGGATGTGGGCGGTATGTGCGTACCGCGTGGTGTTGCGACGGTTTGACGAGTGCGACTCCCAGCGTCGACTTTTCGACCCCACGGAGCCTCTGCTGCTCCGGGGGGGGGGGTCTGCAGACCACCCGGCCGAACTTCAGAGTCGCGGTGCTCCTCAAATACCGCTCAAACGCCCCCGATGTTGTGGAGGGGACATATGCTGATGATCCTGGCCCGATTGGTTCGCTCAGAAAGCTTCTGGGCGGTCGTTAAGGTTCGCTCCCCGCACACCGGCCCGGAAGTATCGTACCCTAGAAGAGGGGCAAAGTGAGACTGGGTGGGGCACACGCGTAGTTGAAACAGCACAGGGAATGGCAACAGGTGCCGATCCAAGGACCGGCTGCCAAAACCAGAACCCTAGACACCAGGTCCGGTAGACCTCGTCTAGAAGAAAGAGCTGTGCATCAAACTGCTCATCAAATGGAAATCCACCTCCTCCCCACTCCACCGGAGCATGAATCACACTCAGCAGCTCGGGTCGTCGGTCGAGACCGACCCGGCGCTTGTTGTCCTCGAGGACAAATCTCTCTCTCTCCTCGAGGTCCATGTTGTCGCGAAAAGAGAAAAAGATAATGTGGGGCGCGCGCGGGGGCGGCGGGTGTGCGGCGAGTGTGCGGGATGTCTGTGGGCCCGAGAGCGATATGCCATGTCCGCCTTGCGTTGTTTCATAAGCTAAGCTCGGGTTACACCAATCCTCGCTACCCAACGCGGCCAAAGGATATCCACCTCGAGAACCTCGAGAGAAGCTCAAAAGCTAAGTTTTTTGTAAAACTTGCGATCCCGGTCCATGATTGATTGATTGATGGGA